GGGCTGTGGTGGGAGGGGCAAGGGCGTGCGTGTGCACGTGTGTGTGTGGTGTGTGTGTGTGTGTGCATGTGTGGGCTCACTCAGGAGGAGACCACAGGTCTACTGGCCTGGCCGTCAGCCGCGCTTCTCGGAGTCTGAGCCACTAGGCTGCAAGAAATCCAGGGCCCACTTCCTCCTCCCCCACCCCACCAGAGGCCCCCAACAGCTGCGGCGTGAGAAGCCAGCGGCCCCCGTGAGTGGCTCACCATAGCCCCGTCCCCGAGAGCTGGGCCCTAGTCTCAGTCCAGGGCTGCCCACCTCTGTACCCCTTAGGTGCTCGCGCAGGGCTGTCTGCAGACCGAGTGGGGGGGGGGCACGGGGTCACCCAGCACCACGACGTCTGGTCCTCCTCTGCCTGGCTCCCGGGACACTCTGGCTCTGGCCCAGCAAACGCCCCCGGGGGGCCCGAGGGTGACTAGTGCCCTTCCACGTTAGGGCCGGGGTGCTCCCAGGCTCCATCCTGAACCTCGCTCGCTGGGGATGTGGCAGCTGGGGGCACATACAGGTTTCGTTTCTGCTTCCTCTCTATGCTCCAGCCGGTAGGTTCCCCTCTTCCTGCACCTGGTTGCTCTGAGGTTGACAGCCAAGCCCATGTCACCATGATGTGCCAGACACCACATGGCAGCCCTGCCTGAGCTCCCGCTCCATGGGTCCCCACCCTGTCCTCTGCCCTTCTCCCGCCCTTGCCCCCTCACACCCTGGATGCTTCCTCTACCCCGCCTGTGACCCTGGGTCCTTCCCCAACCCCTCCCCGTGACCCCAGGTCCTCCTCCCGCCCCGTGACCCTGGGTCCTTCCCTCCGTGACCCATGGAGGTCTTTCAGACAGCCCTCTTCTCTTGCCTCCTAGGTCCATGGTGGTGTCTCTTCCTCTGACTGAGGGAGTGGAGGGAGCTTTCACTTGTTGAAGATGGGGCTCAAAGCTATTTATAGAGCAGACACCGGGTGGCAGGATCTGGGGTGGCCGCAGCAGTGCCTGCCCCCCACCGAATTTGCATACCTGGTGACCGTGCACAAAGTGGGCAGGAAGCTGGCCACTTTGCATGGAGGCCAACAATGCACTGTCTGATAGAGAGCCGGAGGACCCGTCCCTTGGGGGGTACTCTGCTGGGACTCTCTGCTCCCCATCCGGCTCCACCAGCAGGCAGACATGTGGGGAGGGCAGGATGGACACAGAGAGGCGAGTACAAGTTTCCTTGTCTTCCCAACCCGTAACATTTGATCCATGGAGGGGACAGAGAGAGGCTCTTGCAGCCAGGCGCTGTTCCCACCTCGGGCAGGTGGTGGGCCTCTCTGCATTTCTCCCCTCCAACAAAAGTGTGCCATCATGGGGCGGAGAGAGTGAGCCCCTCTCCTCCTAGTGGGTTCATGAAAAATGAAGACCTGCAGCAGGGCCCTCACAGGGTTTGGAGGTGCTGGGGCATTGGCTCTGTCCCATAATGGGCCTGTCTGGGCACAGGTGGGGTCAGCCAGGTCCAGGTGGCCTCGTAGGCCCGTGGGTTCAAGCACCAGCCCCAGGGCATCTGCTGAGAGGCAGACCACCATGACGAAATGCACGGACCGCACATAAGCTTGGGGTGGGAATGGGGTGCCACTCAGCCCAGCTGATCCCAAGCCCTAAAAGGCACTGGGCCAAGGAGCAACACCTTGGGTACCCCCAAGGCTTCCTGGAGAAGAAGGTGGCCCCCTTGGTGGAGAGGATGTGTGAGATATTCCCCGGCCCAGGAGCCTGTGATTCTCCGGACCCTGTGCTTGGTCCTCAGTGGGCCTCGCCTGGTTGCGCTGTGAGCAGCTGTTGCAAAAGGCACGTGGTTTGTGAAAAGTGTCCACCCGCCCCCAGAAACGTGGTTCGAGAGGCTAATTCTGTGTCATCCTGGTGGGAGGGGGCTGCATCATGGCCACCAAGGGGCAATGAGGGGTGTCTGAGGACAGCAGGCTAAGGGCTGCAGCAGGAAGAGTCCCCATGACCAGCCAAGGAGGGGAGGTGGCCCAGGGCCCAGCAGGCCAGTTTCTTCCCCTGCTAACAGGACCCAGGGTCCACCCACAACACAAGAGCCCTGGTCCCCAGAGACGGAGCTGGTGCCTCCTTCCCACTTACAGGGGTGGGGTCCTGATGGGCCTGTTGATTACCTGCCATGGTGGAGACTGGGTCCTGCCCTAAAGTGGGCTCCCACATGCCACCCTCATGCTGAAGCCAGACAAGCAGCTCAATGTCCCAGAACAAAAGCAGCTGGGAGGTTCTGAGGATTATTGTATATCCCCTTCCAAAAGCAGACAATGGGCTCTTTGCCACGCCTGAAAAGAGGAGGCCACGTGGCTCAGGAGGGAATATTTCTGTGGTCTCTGTCCACGACGGAGAAAGCAGAAGTATGGCCGGGCGAGCCCTCTGGGTACCTGCTGGGCTAGCCGCCCCACTCCCTTCTGACCATGAGCACCAGGCCGGGCTCCACGACCTGCCCATGACCCACGGGGAGGCCTCGGGGACCAAAACTGCCACAGTCAGCGTGAGTGCACAAAGCTATGAATTGATACTTGTTCAGCAATGCTGACCTGGGAACTGGATTAACACTCTCGGAGACTTCTAGATCATTTGGAAGCGAGACCGAGACCCGGAGGTCAGGCTGCAGAGGCGGCTTGTCAAGGCAAGGGTCCATTGGAGACCAGGGAGAGCCAGACTCTGAGCGGAGTTACTCAGAATTGGGTGCTCTGACAAGGACAGAACATCAGCCCCAAGACCTCCATTCACTGGGCCATCATCAAGCCCAACCCCCAGGCTCCCAGCTCCCTCACCACGGAGGTGGGAGGGACTTGGTTGGGACTTGCTCAGGGACTGGCTTGAGGGGCCACACCCAGGGCAGACTAGGCCATGGCCACCCAGGAGGGAAGCAGCCCCATAAAAAATGTCCGGGTAGTGTCCACTAGCCCTGCCCAGCAGGAAGCAGGACTGAGGCGGGGCAGCCATAGGGGTCTGACCCAGAGGACCTTCTGTGCTCTCCCTGCGCAACCTGGGAAAGCGGGCTCGCTCTGTGAGAGGCCCCCTCCCCGCATCCCGTGGGCATTGGCTCCCCCCGCCAACTGCCCCAGTCCCCTTAGCCGTGGGCCCATCTGTTGCGACACTGCTCTGTGTCAGGCCTGGCTCACCTGGGTTGTCTTCTCCCCACCAGGAACAGAGCTGCAAAATGTCTGCAGTCACCCAAAGCTCCACCACATACTAGCTGTGTGCCCACAGGCAAGTCACCAAACCGCCTAGTGCCTTGGTTTACTCCCCTGTAACTTGGGAGACACAGCAGCGACCTCACACGTTGTTGCCAGGCTTGTCTGAGATAATGCTCAAAGCACTTAGCTTGGGGCGGGGGCGTTCTACCTGCTCCGTGAGCAGTTCCTCCTCTGCTCCTACTATTGGTACCCTCGGGGTCCCACACTGACCCGCTAACACCAGAGGCTTCCTCTCCTCTGAACCCTGCGAGGCCCCATTCTGCACTGAAAGAAATCTCACGGCAGGACCTGTTCTGGGTTCACTGAGTAGGGCCAGTTTCTGATTAGGCAGAGGGCACTCAGGCCCCAAATATCACAGGGAGACACAGTGACTGGGAAGCTGGTTCCTTCAGGTGGAAAACTACTGAGGCTCCCCCACGCCTCCGCCTCCGGAGAGGAACAGGCCCCGCCACCAAGTCCCCCTGCGCACGAGGGAGCGCGTGCGCTCTGCCTGTCTCTGCCCTCGTGGCGCTGACCCCCGCAGGGCCCCAGCGGGCCTCTCTCCACTCCGGTCGCGCTGCCGGCTTCCGTGTCAAAGGTGGAAGCCCGGCGTCTGCCTCCGGTGTCCAGGTCTGGGGCCAAGCGTGCCCACCGGGCGCTGAAAGCGGGTCCGCATCCTCGTTTCCATCCTCCCCGGCCCTCTGCCCTCACCAGGGCGCTGGGGTCCCCCAGTCCCGCTCCGCACCGGCTGCCTGCGGTGGCGCTGGGAGAGGGGCCAGCCGGCGTGGGTCCGGCCGGGGACCAGCCCCACGCGCCCGCCCCAAAGCCCCGCGAGCGGGGAAGTCTCCGCCCGGACCCTGCCCCCAGGTGTCCGAAGCACAGGGGCGTGAACAAAGCCCGGCTGCCCGCGAGAAACTTCTGTGCTTGACTATTTCCTCCTGGCCTCCGCCGCAGCCGGATCCGCCACAGGTGGAGGGCCGGCCGCCACTCCGCACCCCGGGGGGGCGCGTCTGTCCCTGCCCTGACCAGCGGGGCCTGCGCCGGCGTGCGCGCCTAGCCACCTGCCCTGGACACCAGCCCCGCCGCTCCGTCCCTGCCCTCCCCTCCCGGTCGCCCGCCTCCTCCTGGGCAGCTGGCAGCGACGGGCGCGTCTGCCTCGGATTTCCCAGAGGCAGCCGGGCCGTGGGGCGCACCGCCCGTGCCCGGCGTCCGCCCTGCCGGCGCCACCCGGAGCCCGCCGGCCGCAGCCCGGCGTCCCTGGGCACCTGCCGCGCTCCTGACGTCAGCAGCCCGGGGCCGGCGCCCCACGATGGCGCCCCGAGCTCCGCGCCCGCGCCCCCCGAGCACTCACCTTCCCGACACCCGACCGTCGCGCTGCGCCCCGCGCTCTAGCGGCTGCTCGCGGCCGGCCCCAGCTCCATTCATCCCCTCCCGGGCCCGCCCGGCCCCAGAGCGACCGCCGGCCCCACCTACCCCGGCCAATGGCTGCGCCGCGCTGGCTGCGCCCGCCCCGCGCCCCGGGCCCGCCCCCTGAAGTGACAGCCGCGGGAGCGCGCGGCGGGGGCGGGGGGAGCGGGGAGCGCGGGGCCTCTGCCGCCCCGGGTCGCCGGGGCCCCCCAGCCCAGCGCGCCTGCCCCTGACGGATCCCTCCCCAGCCCCGAGAGACTCGGCATCCCAGAGCTGCAGGCCAGAAACCATCCCAGAGCTGCAGGCCAGAAACCGGAGCGGGGCGGTGAAGTCCCCAGGCCCTGTGGCGGCTGGTCTCTGACTCAGAAGGCCGCTGGCGTGTGGGACGGGGGCTGTGGCAGAGGCCCTGAGAGGAAGTGAAGTCTCCTGCCCAACCCTTCGGAAAGGCCACCCGTGGCTGGTGGGAGCCGGGCCGGGGCGCTGGTAGGCTGGCGTTGGCCTGGGCTGCGGGCGGGTGTGGGCCTCCTTGGTGCCTCCTGGGGCCCCGGGGGAATTGGGGAGGATGCCGGTTAGGGGCTCACCCTGGCTCATGGCGAGGCCAGCACCCTCACCTGGGGAATCCAGCCTTCTCTCTAGAATGATTCTCTTTCTGCCGCGGGCACGGTCAGGAAGGAGGGAGGGGCTCTTCTGCCATATGGCCACCAAACGGAGGGCCTGTTGGCATTCCACCACTGTTCTCCCCTGTGTGACCCCGAACACATTGCTTAATCTCTCTGAGTCTAGTTACATCATCTGTAAAACGGGGCTGATGACAACACTTCCTCAGAGGTCCCTGAACGCCGTAGGGATGAGGCAGGGGATGGGGATGAGACCGAAGGGTTGCCAAGTTAGTACAGTAACAGCAGATCACACTGACACCCCACAGTTTTTCCTTTTTAGTTTTCACAAAATGAATTCATTTTAAAAGAATGGGGCACCATTAAAAAAGGGGGTGCCTGGGGGGCTCCGTCGGTTAAGCAACCAGTTCTTGATTTCGGCTCAAGGTCATGATCTCAGGGTCATGAGATCAAGCCCTGCATTGGGCTCCTCACTGAGCATGGAGCCTGCTTGGGATTCTCTTTCCCTCTCTCTCTGCCCCTCCACCCTGCTCGTGCAAGTGCGTGCGCTCTCTCTCTCAAAATAAAGAAAGAAAAGGAAAGGAAAGAAAAGAAGTCTACAAATGTCAACCATGTGTGTTTAAGTCCTGACGTCCGTTGGGTAAGGGAGAAATGACCAAAGCATGACCTGGGACTGGTGGGGGAGCACACACAGAGCCTTAGGCCCACACAGCCACCGAGGAGGCGTGGGACTGACCTCTTCCTGTGGGGGCTGGGGAGGGGCGGTGCTGGGGCTCATGGACGAACCCACATTTGCACAGTTATTTACGAAATGCTCTGCCTTCAGAGGGCCGGCTTCTGCCCACTCGTGCCAGGCCCCGGGGGTCCCTGGTCTTGTCCTTGCCTCCATGCAAACATCCACACCTGGAAGCTGGGGCGAGGTCTGGCCACTCCTGGAATATCAGCCTCCACTCCTGGCCCCACCGCGTAAGAGGAGAAACTACCAACAGTGTTCCCAGGAGGAGAAGTTCTCTCTGAGGATGAGGAACTAGCGGGAGGACCTCACTGGTCTGCCTGGGAAAGGAGGCTGCTGGAGGGAGAGCATGCTCTTCTGAAGAGAGGCTGGTGAGCTGCTCTGCAGACCTGGCCTCGGGGTGGAGCCCGCTGGGAGCAGCATTTCTCAGTGGACCTGACTGGAGATGCCTTTGGAAGGTAGTGAGCTCCCCGTCATGGGAAGTGTGTGAACAGAGTTGGCTGATCTGATAGTGATGGCATGAGAGCATTTCAAGTGTCAGAAGCAGCATTGGACTTACTGTTTCCAAACTTCATTTTGGATTTTATTCCTGGAGACTGTTATTTACACAATGTTTTTCCTTCGGACAATTCATGTATTTTACTAAAACAGTACATTTCTTTTTAAAAAGGTAAATCCGTGTCTTTATCCTAGAGAGGCTAGCATCAACATGGAAAAAGGAAAACGGAAAGCGGTGTTCACTTCTAGCCAAAGACTACTGCCTGCAGAGAGCTCTGGGCCTCGGACCTGCTCCCTCTTTGTTTGCCAAAGGGCTGCCGTCAGTCGCTAAGGGGCAGGAGACCATCTCCGGACCCGACCGGCAGGTGGGAGGAGGAGGGAGGAAAGGCCTGGCTCCCGCCGTGATTCCCTGCTGTTTGCCATTTTGCCTGGGCCCTGTCTCCATCCATGGCCCACTCGACGGAGCCTTCGTCCACCTCTGGGAGGCGCTGGCCCCCAGCGAGCCTGGGCTCACGGCCCTTCCCTGTCCGTACCACCAGACTGAGGGCTCTCCACCGGGGATCCTCTCGAGGCTCTTGTCCACAGGCACAATTTAAAAGGTAAATCAGGAGCAAACATTTCAGGCATATTAATGCAAGATGCAGGCCTTGGTTCTCAAAAGCTAACCAGTGTCTAGGCACCTCCAGAGGCCCCTGGGAGCACCTGTGTGCCCGAGACCCCACCCCGTGCAGCTTGCCCATAGGGACGGGGTGGTGCCTTGGGGTGGCTGCTGGCCCAGACTCCAGGCCCCTAGCGCTGTGGGCGCGGCTGTCACCCGGGTAGCCACCCCACCCTTTGTCCTGCGGTGGAGGGATTCGGAGAGGTAGTGGGGAGGCTGGCAAGAGGTCACCCACAGAGCCCAGCAGCCTATGAGAACAAGGGCAACCTGATAAAGTGCCCTGGAACATTCTGAACTCAATAACGTCTATCCTGGCAGGGTTTTGTCTGGGGCAGAAATAATTAAAAGGAAAAGAAAGAAAGAGCTCAAGTTCCGCCGGCTCCCCTGCGGTCCTGCGGGGGATGCCCAGCTGCATGTCAGGGCACCTCCAGAAGACTCTGAACGGGCCAGGTGCATGTTTATGGCCAATCATTCTCCTCTGATATCATCTCTGGAGGCACCCCAAAGCACTGAAATGTGCAGGCTTTTGCTGTCACACCGTCTCTCTGTGGACGTCTGCTGGCTTTCTGCACATCTCACGTCCAGGAGAGACGTCTCCTCCTGAGATCAGAAGCAAAGAGAGAGAAACTCTCTCCAGGTCTTGGGACAAGTTAATGGCCAAACTGGAAGTACCCCCGACACTCCACAGGTGGACAGATGAGGCGCCATGTTCTTTCTAGAGGCCACCAACAAACCGGTCACTGCTTAGAGATACTGGTGATAGAGACGAGGGTCTGGGTGGAGAAAGATGGACCACACAGCCCTGAGCTCTGAGGACCTCATCTGAGGACACGTGGGGCACCCTAAGTTCCAGGAAAGGCAGGCCCAACAGAGTGGGGGGCCCCCTCTGTGCCGGCGGCTCTGTAGCTCAGGAGCTTCAGAAGCTGCAGGGAGACAGGGGCCGGCCCCCAGTGCCCACGGAGCCCAGCCCTCGTCCAGACCCAGGGCCCGGCTGCCCAGCAGCTCCCTAGAAGGATCATTTGACTTTCATCAGGATCCACTTTCTGCACTCGCTTCTATAAGGAGACAACTATGTTTGCCAGCTGGAGGGCACCCAGAACTGCCCGGGCCTGCCCAGCTGCCCCGCTGGGCTGGGGTGGAGGTGGGGTCAGAAGGTCCATTTGGCAGAGCCCTCCCGTTCCGGAATGGGAATTGCTGGGAGCTTCACAGGTATGCACGCAGGGCCGTCCGACGTGGCCCGAGAGGGTCAGGCCTTCCAGCTTGCTCTTACCCCGACCCACGGAAGACCCGTCACTCCTGAATCCTGTCCCTGCCTTGACTAGCAAGACTAGTTTGCATCGAAGGGGTTTTGTGTCACACACATTAAAAGCAAACATTCAAATTATCAGCAATTATTTGTAGGCCTGCTTGGGCGTTCCTTCGTGTTTTGTTTTGTTGGGAACTGCCGCAAACCGAGCGGGCTGGAGGTTTCCCCGCCACCGAGGCCCTGCCCTCGGCATCCTTGTCCCACTAAGCCAAGGCTGCTCCTCAGGACAATCAACAAAAAGGAGCAAAAGACCCTAGGAAGGGAAAAACACACAACGCAGGGCGGCAGGGGCCTCCGAGTCTGCCGTGGAGCTGGGGGGGTCTGTCCGCATCCCTCCGGAGACCCCCATGCCCTCTCGGCTCAGCTCCCCCCTTGCCCAGTGTCCTTGTCCTGTGTCTCCCACTGGCCTGGGGCTGGAGCTCAGAGCTCATACCTCCTGCCTGGCGCCCGGCTCCCTGCCCTCCCGCCTGATCTGGTTGCCCTCTCCCAGCCAGTGGGACCTGCCTGCCCCACAGGCACCCTGCAGTACACACTGTACTGTCCTTTTTCCCGAAAACTTCCTTCTTTGCCGACTATGGACATCTCCATCCCACCTCCTCCAGGAAATCCTCAAGGACCTCGTCTCTCTCTCCGCCCCTGGAAGCTGGCTCTCTGAGCTCTGTAGGTCTTTGTCTGTGGGCATAGACCTCGCCCAGGTGCTGCCAGGTTGCATGCTCCCTGGAGAACCTTCCAGCAATCTGGCCATCCAGCGTTTGACACCCCAGCTGTGAGCAAGGCACTGGGGGTGAAAAAGAGGGGACGCACGCACGTTCATGAGACATGATTGCAAGGGGCTGCCTCAGTTTCCCCAGCCCCGGGAGACATCCTGGACATCCACAGCCTGTTGCCAGCCCAGGGTCCCCTCTGCTGGCAATGGCCTCGTCATGGTCCTGGAACTGCTTCCGGCCAGGTGGTTCTGTTCACTGAGTCACCAGCACACTGGTCTGCCTGAGCCCTTGGGCTACCTTCCTCCCCCCACCCAGGACCTTTTCGACCTTCATGCTGGACGACACGGCTCCATCCCAGAGAGGAGCTGCAGGGGCCCGAGAGGCCCCTTCCCCGGAGTAAGCCGTGAGGTCACCGGCAAACTCCCAACGGAGAAGCCGACCTCCAGGGCCTCTAACTTAGCGATGGAGCGGCGACCAGGTGGCTGCCAGCTACCCACAGAGGTTCTCACACATGCCTCAGGGTGGGTCGGAGGGGGATGCTGTGTCAGGGAGGCCGGCTGCCCCGCTCTGGAATGGCTCTGGGGTAGTTAGGGAGGGCAAAGTGGGCAGGGGCAGGTGGGAGAGCCAGGCTGACCTCAGGCGGCCAACTGCACGCAGCTGTCCATGGGAACCGGGTGGTCCTGGTGGAGGAAGGGCAGAGGGTCCGTGGTCACACAGAGGAGGGACCGAGCTTTGCAGGGAGACAGGACTGCGGAGTCTGGAGCTGGCTGGGGTGAGTCTGGGAGAGCAAGTGCCGCAGGCAGAGACAAGACCCCGAGGCGCGTCCTCCAGTCCAGAGAGACCCTCAGCCCTCGGCCCTCATGGGACGAGCTGACTGTGGGACTTCGCCTGAGGGGGCATGTGTCCCTGGAGAGCCTGGCTTGGGGGCAGATGGACCAGTGGCCCTCTCTCAGCACCCTGGCTATGAGCAGAGAGCTGCTCACGGAGGCCCCTGGAAGGACCCCTGGGGGAGGGGGGAGGGAGATTCCTCCCTCAGCGCCCTGGCGGCCACCAGGACCCGGACAGCTCGTGTCTTCTTGCCCCGACCCGGGACAGGCCGGACCAGCGGGCTGGGGGGGCTCAGGTGGGTTCTCAGGGAAGGTGAGCGACAAAACCTGAGCCCACTTAGTGGTGAGGCGATCCTTCCCAAAGTCTCCGGGATTCGAGACTCGGTGGCCGGTGGCCAGCGCCTGGCAGAGCCGCTGAGCATTTTCCCCATCCCAGGGTACAAACGCGAGTCCCTGGCTCGCCAAGAGGCCTGGATGTTCTCTTAAACCCCAGGAACACAGAGACCCCAAGGGGATTTGAAGAGCTGCCTTGATATCTGGATCCCAGATGGCCTGTCCCATCACAGGAAGTGGGTGGCTTGAGGCTCTGCAGGGCCCGCAGGGGCGCCTTGCCTCCCTCACCATCCCCGCCCCTCCCCTGGTGGCTCCTCCTTCCTCCCAGCACCCCCCCCAGGCCAGGCCTGCAGGACCCCTCTCTGCAGGCACACCGGCTGCCTCCCCCCAAGATGCTTCCCACAAACCCTCCCACGGTCTCCAGGCTGGGCCAGCGGACCCACTGAGGTCACCTCTGAACCTGGGCCCCACATCCTCCTGTGCAGCCCCCACCCCTCATGCTCCTCCCCAACCGCGAGCTGACTCCTGCCCCTCCTGGGAACACGGACCCCCTGCCCTCCGAGACCTGACACGTCTGATGTCCTTCTCCACTCCCTCCATCCCCTCAGCCTGTGGCCTTGGCTCCAAAGCTGGGTCTGCACCGGGCGTCCCCCAAGCTCTGCCTTCCAAGACCCACGATTGACCTCCCCATGTTCTCCCGGGAGGCATCCATGTGGGTCTTTCCGGCTGAACCCCAACCACAGCCATGGCCCAGGGCCTCCTCCTTGGACCCCAACGTGCTCCCTCCCGGTGTCCCCGTCTTATGCAGTGACCCATGGGTCCACCTGTTCATGTCCCCCAGTCTCCTGTCACCCCTGCCTGCTGCTGTCCCCGCTGGTCCCCTGGTGGACCTTTGTGTATTTGCGAAATGCCCACCTCCCCGATGTCGGTCCAGAGGCCGAGCTGGGCACCAGTGCAGACAGCCCCCTGTGCACCTCAGCACGTCAGGAAGCGTGATCAAAACTGCTCTCTGCACCCTGTCCCCACCTTGTGCACGGTCGTGTCTGTGTCCCCTCCCCGTGTCCCACCTCCACGGCTCCCTGGAGACCCCAGACCCCTTGGCCAGGATGTCCCACAGACTCCTTAGGGTCAGCCCTCTTTGTCCCCTTCCAGGTCCCACCACCCTTGCTCCCTGCCAAGCTTTCTTCTCCCCTTCCTCTGTGACTCCCTCTCTGTCTCCGTCTCTCTGTCTCTCCTGTTTCTGACTTTCTGTCTCTGTCTCTCTCACTGTTTCATTTCTCTCTCTCTCTCTGCCTCCTCCTTTTGTCTCAGGAATTTTATTTATTGCAAAAGCAACATTACAACAACATGACAGGAAATGTTTAATGGAGAAAAGTTTGCTCCCGGCCCCACAACCCGAGCCCAGTGGCTGCCTTCCCTGTTTTTCTTGTTTTCTCCTGGCCTTGGCCAGCAACGTCACGGGGACACACAGCTCCCGAGGGGGCCTCTCAACACTGTGCCCACGTCTTCCATGCTGACCACTCCTCGTCAGCAGTGCCATCACCATCCTCCCGAGGACGGCCACACGCCGTTGTCCCAGGCTGGTCGATGCAGACACCGCACATCTGTCCCTGAAGGAGCCGGCACGGGGGCCACGGCCGTGGGGGGAGCAGCTCAGTGGAGCTCACTTCCTGAGGCCTGGACGGATGCAGCACAGAGGAGCGTAGGGAGAGCACCGGAGAGCTGCTTGCAGCCGTCACAGGGGAGCCAGGTCTTTGTCACCCGAGTGTCCGTGAGAGAGCACGGTGCGTGGCAGCCACGTCCCTCCGACGTGGCACCTGCTTCAGCGAGAGGTGGGGAGGGCGCCTGCTACCAGCACTGGGGGCTACAGGTGGAGGGGAGCGGGGAAAGTGATGACTTTTCCTGGACACTCCTGCCTTGGCCCACGGAGCACGTATTCCTGTGCCTTAAGAAATGCGCTGGGGGCCCAGGCACCCCAGAAGCCCACTGCCCCCAATCTGGCGCACTGGAAGCAGCCAGGAGAAGGAACCTGGTGAACAGCCGAGCTCAGGAGGGCGCCCAGCCCGGGCCCATGACACTGCGCTTCTGAGGATGGGCTCCGTCCTCCACCTTGGCGCCCGCTCCCTGGGTGGCCCCTTGCACCCAGCAATTACCACCTCAGTCCCTCCCACACACATCCGTCCTGAGCCAGGCCAGCCACCGTCCTCAGTCAACACACCACCCACAAGGAAGGGGGTCTGGCTTCCTCCTTCTAGGCCCCTCCTCAAACTGGCTCCTCCTCCCTCCTGCCTTCTCTTTCCCTCCTCCTCCCTCCTCCCTCCTCCTCCCTCCCTCCTCCACCTTTCTTCTTCTCTCCATCCTCTCTCCTCCCTTTTTTCTCTCCTCCTTCCTCTTCTCTCCCTCCTCCCTTCTCTTTCCCTCCTCCTCCCTCCTCCTCTTCCCTCCTCCTCCTCCCTCCCTCTCTCCCTCCTGCACCTTTCCTCTTCTCTCCATCCTCCCTCCTCCTTCCTCTTTCCTCTTCCTCCCTCCTCCACCCTTCCTCTTCTCTCCCTCCTCCCCCCTCCCTCCTCTCTCTCTCTACCGGGTTCCTCACCCTGATCACTTGAGCTCTGCCCCAGGTATGCTGGCGCCCCGCCCCCACCCCCACCTTATCTCCCAGCTCAGGTCTCCTGATCTCCTGTGATGACAGCCTCCAACATGTTCCTGCCATCTCAACACCAACACAGGCTGCACTATGTCCCCCTTTGCATCCACAGGAGGATGCTCCCTCCTCCCTGAATCCCAGGCCAAGAACCCCCAAGGAAAGTGCCCACTTTACCCCATCCCCTATGGGAGGCCCCGGCAGCTTCTGGATGGGTAAAGGTGTAACTCCCAGGAGAGGGGCTGCCCCAGGTGGGCAGTCAGGCTCAACTCACACAGAGCATGGTTGCAGGTAGGAAGCCAGCTGCCGGGCTGGGAGCCACAGTGTTGAGAGTGCAGAGAGGCTGGTGTCTGCCAACCAGGCGTCCTGGGCTCGGCTCTTCGTGGACAAGCCCCCTTCTCCTGGCTGCTCCCAGTGTGCTAGGAGTCAGCCCCTTCACCTGGAAGCCCCTCCCCTGGTTTATTCTTTGCCTCTTGCTCTTATGGGGTGTTCTCTCCATAATAGCAGGTGCCATGGGGCCTGGTTCCTGCAGCAGCCAGAGCCGCTTGGGGGGCTGTCTTTGCTCGGACTTGGTTTTTCAGGCCACATGTCAGCATTTCTCAGGAGCACAGCCACCCACCTCTGACCTCCAGGGGCTTCTGAAAAATACACCAGCAAGCACTGTTAGTAAGACTGTAAAATCGCACAGCTGCTATAGAAAACAGTACGGCGGCTGCTCAGAAAACTAGAAATGGAATTACCATATGACCTTGCAATTCCATCTGTGGGCGTGTCCCCCAAAGAACTGAAAGCGGGGACTCCGAGAGACGTTTGCACACCCACGTTCACAGCAGCACCGTTCACAACAGCCAACAGGTGCAATCAGCCCCAGGGTCCATCCACAGACGGATGGATGAACAAGATGTGTATGTCCATGTGGTGGGATATTCAGGCTTGGGAGCTGGTTATGGGGCAGTTGCACTGGGTGCGGTTCCACAGGGTAGGCTGCATGCTTGGCTGAGCGAGGTTGGGGTTGGCCCAGCCTACTTAACCTAACTCCTAGTGGTGAGTGACTCACAGCTGGTTGCCTCAGATCAGGGAAATGGAAAAACCCCAAGAGTGTTAATAAATATTTTCCTTATACACTTCATTGTGTCTCTACATGGCCTGGAGGATGTTAATTTCCTTCTGTCCAGGTCTCACTCACAGTGACAGAAACACTGTCTGGGGATGTCTCTTCTTCTTGGGTCCCACTTGTAGGGAGATGCTCCCTTGTTTTATAGACAAACTATGATGATAAGAGTGGTGGTGGTGATGGTGATGATGGTGGTGGTGATGAAGGTGATGATGGTGGTGATGGTGATGATGATGATGGTGATGGTGATGGTGAAGATTGTGATGGTGATGATGGTGGTGATGATGATGGTGATGATGGTGGTGATGGTGATGATGGTGATGGTGATGATGAAGATTGTGATTGTGATGATGATGGTGATGATGGTGGTGATGGTGATGATGATGGTGATGGCGATGGTGAAGATAGTGATGGTGATGATAATGGTGATGATGGTGGTGATGGTGATGATGATGATGGTGATGATGGTGGTGATGGTGGTGGTGATGATGGTGATGATGAAGGTGATGAGAATGGTGGTGGTGGTGATGGTGGTGATGATGGTGATGATGGTGATGAAGATGATGGTGATGGCAATGATGTT